ATTGTTGTTACTACCTCCATTCATCTCCTCTTACTCTTTTTTTTAAAGTAAATTTTATTTTTGTTTTATCTGTTTTTAATTCTATTCTTTTAATGGCAGTACTGAGAGGACTGATCCCAGGACCTTGTGCATGCTAAGCACGTGCTCTACCACTGAGCTATACCCTCCCCGCCCCTCCTACCTTCTCTTAAACTCTCTCAAAGCAGGTTGGCACTGGCCACTCCACGGTGACTGTTCCTGCCCAGGTCAGTAACGGCATCCCAACTGCTACAACCAAGAGGTCCATCCTCAAGGCTCCTCGTGCAGAGTTTGAAAGCAGACCCCTCCCGCCTGTCTTCCGGGGCGGGGCTCGGGACTCCCCGTGCTCCTGGTTCTCCAGCCCACCTCCCACGTTGCCCCTCCTATGACTCCTTCCGGCTGTGTCCAGGAGCTCTTCCCCATCCGCCCCGCCTCCGGGGGTGAGCTCATCCAGTCTCTTCTGGCTTGAAATGCCTCCAGATGCTGGCGCCTCTGACTCTACACCCCCAGGCCCGACTTGCCCACGTGCACCTGCCTTAGCAACTGCTCCACGCTGTCACAACTAACCAATCAATCAGCGTGCAGGCCAACTCCGCCCAGCCGTTCCCCCGCGGCGCCCCACCTCGGGCGCAGAAACTCCCTGGTGCCAGGTGCTCAGACCACCAGAGCGCAGGGGTCCCTGAGTCCCTGCTCTTCCCAGGGCATCCACTCCAACGGTCAGTCCCAGGGCGCTCAGCCTTCCAGATGGCATCTCTGAAACCCGACCGGTTCTCAAGCCCGCTTCCCAGGACCACCTCATCCAGGACCACTCAGCCCTCATCCCTTTCTCTGGATGACCTCAGCTCCTTGCGGTCTATTCTCAGCAGAGCAGCCATAGTGGCCCCGTTAAGGGCCAAGTCAGCTGCGACCCTTCTCTGCTTATGACCCCACTGCTTCCTATCGCGCCGGGAGACCATCCCACTTCCTGGCACAGCCTCCTGCAGACGTCCCCACGGCTTGCCCCCTCGTCTTCTTGAGGTCTTCTTCAGTCGCCGTGTTCAAACTGCAACCCTCCCAGTACACGCTGCCTTTCCCTCCTTCCCTGCTTTACTTCTCTACCCGACTCCATCTGACTTACGACATACTCCGCTTTATGCCTGATTTTTACTGAGATGTAAGCTCTGTGAGGGCAGGCATTTTGCTCTGTTTACCCCGCACCTGCGGGGCCGTGAACAGCATGTGACACATAGCAGGAGCTGACAAAAAAATAGCACTCGTGGAGTGGACAAATGTTCCTGATTTGAACCGATCGTCTTCCAGTGGTGCGATACGGTCACCATCAACTTCGCAATAGCCCTGAAAGAAGTTATGATTTCCCACAAAGGAATAATCCCCTCGTTGGCCACAGAAACCACACCCTCGTATGAAAGGGCGCTGGGCCACATGTATTTCAACACTATTTCCCTAAGATTGTATACTGGGACTCAAGGAACCCCTGAACTAGCAATCTGGTCGACAACGGGAGTTCTGTGCAGGGATGCCTGAGCTCCGGGGCCTGGAGCGGTGTGGGAGGAGAGTGATTTCCAGTGCGGCCACTGGCGGTGGGCGGCAAGGACGCTCTCAGGTGCTGCGCGCTCCAGCTGCGGCCGCGGCCGGGAAGCTCCGCCCTCCAGCCGCCCAGCGCGGTCTCCATTGGCTGCTCCCCTGAAGGACCGCGCCCCCATTGGCCGAAGACGCTGGAGGCGGGCCCCGCTCGGGAATGGGGCGAAGGCCGTCTCCCGCCCTCCAAAACTCCCCAGAAGGGCGGGCAGTTGGCCCGCAGCAGCAGCGCTGCTGATCCTCAGGGGAGCACTAGGCTCCAGGCCCACAGCCGCCCTCCGTCCGCGCGTCCCCCAACGCGACTATATTTTCCAGGGGGCGGGGCGCGGCGCGGCTTGGCTCGCGCAGGCGCAGTAGGCGCGCCCCGGCGGCCCCCACCCTCGGCCGTGCGTCCGGCCCCGCCCAGCGCAGAGGAGCCTCCCAGCGGCCCCGCCCCCGCCCGCGGCCCGCGGCGGCGGAGAGAGATGACGTCATCAAGCGGGGCGACGGGCTTTGGGCGCCATTTTGAAAAGGGAAAAAAAGTCTGGTGGTGGCGGCGGCCTGGCTGAGGTGCTTGGGCGGCAGCAGTGCGGCGGCTGCGTTCTTGCTCAGCCACCGCCTCGGCGCCCGCCCGCGCCCGCCGGCCCGCCGGCCGGCCATGGCAGGTGAGGAGCAGAGGTCGGGCGGGGGCGCGGGCCTGACGCGCCCGAGGTGTCCGCGGGAGCCGGAGGCGGCGGCTGCCCCGCGGGCCCAGCGACTTGCAGCGGTGCTTCTCGCAGGTCAAGGCGGCCGTCGACGAGGACGTGGCCGAAGGTGAGGCCGCGCAGCGGGGCGCGGGGCGGGCCCTGGGGCCTATGGAAGGAGCCCGGTCCGCGCAGGGAGGCGGCCCCGGGGCTGTGGAAGGAGCCCCGGTCACGCAGCCTGCGGCTCTCGGGGCTCCCTGCTCCGCAGGCGGCTGCCTCCTGCGTTCGCTGGGACTACGGAGACGGCCGCGGGAACTGGGGACTCGGGAGGCACACAGCTGGGCTGCTGCAGACTGGCGGGAGTGGAGGGAGCTCGCACAGGCCCGCGTCGCGAGGCTCTGGTCACCTGGCGATGGGGGCAGCCTGCTGTGCCTCAGTTTCTTCTTTGAAAGCAGGGCTGGAGCACTCGATCCTCTGACGTTCTTCAGCTTCACGTCAGTTCTTGCTCCCTTCTCCAGTGATGTATTTTAAAGTTCCTGCTCCAGATTTTACTCTTGAACTTTACGGCGTTGCTTGAAGTAGGTGGATGTTTCCCTTAGTCACAGTCTCAGGTGAGCCACGGCGCAGACTCCAAGGGCGTCGCCTGCCCCAGCTTCCCACGGCGCCGCTGTCATCTCAAAGTCGAGCACTTAGAGGCTTTCCCTCACACACACGAAGGTGGACTCAGAAGTTTAATTAGAATCACATGTGGGTTTTTGTTACTGTTCTGCCGTCTTACTGAACATTGTGAACCTTTCTCCTCTTGAAATTGTCTGTACGTGAAATACACCTTTCTTGCCCCCAATAACTAACAGCCTCTGGCCAGGTGTGTTACACCTTTCCTCCACCTGCCCCCTTCTTCACCCTGCACCTCTCCCTGGCAGTGTGACACCTGGAGATCCTTGGCCCTGGGAGTCGAACAGCGCCCAGGTTATTAAGCAAGTAAAACTGTGCTTTAAGAAGTTTGTAAAGATGTTCATGATTTGAGGTTGAATTCTGTTTCTTTTATATTCAAGATCCTTTTTTTTTTTAAACTTTGCAGTGCCAAGTCGGTGACCATTCACCTTACTCAAAATTAATGTCAGGACTAAATCAAAACCCGTTTATTTAGAGGAAGGGAGCTGGGAGAGCTTAATGCCTGTCTCAATTTCTGGTTTCTCTCTTTTTAGAAGAGACGTTTTGTTGGCAAGCTGAATGACTTAAAATTTAAGGCCTACTGAAATGTATTTTAAGTGTGATGTTACGTTTTGAAAATGGTGTTCTTTTTAAAAAAATCTTGGCAGAAATAGTCTATTCTCTAAACTGGAACTTTTTGCAATTTTAAACCCCTACTTTAAGTAAAAATTTGAATGTATCTGAGGGTTGGTATTTTAAACTTTTTTGTAAGATGGCTTTGCGGTAGTTACCCGCATACTTTTTGATCGTTGTGTGCATTCCAGGCCTGCTGTCTTACCGCACGGAATGCTCTGGCTTTAGTAATTCACCTTACAACGTTTGTTATGCCGTCACGTAGTTGTGATAGCATTTGTTCGAGATGTGTCATTACCGTGGACGCCTGCCGTAAAGGAGGAGGAAGTAGTTGTTCACAGCTAGTGATTGTTCAGCAAGGATTAGAAAGAAACTGGTCATGGAGCTGGTTGTGCCCCGACTCCACCTTCGTGAAGAAACGTGGATGAGAGGGAGCTAGGGTGTGGGTAGCTTGAGGCTGGTTCCTGTACCCGAATACTCGGATGTAGAACTGAAGTCGTGGTCCGGGGTTGGTTTAGGTTCGTGGCTGGGGAGGTGTTTTGTTCTCGAAGGTTCGTGGTGGCCCAAGCTCTGCCTTGGAGAGCGCCCTGGTGACCCTGAGCTTTGGGCCACCTCTCTGGTTCCCGCTGCGATTGATCAGAAGATGACTGGGATCGCGTGGGCCTCTCCGCCCCTGAGGAAGGACAGCACGTGGCGAGCGTGAGGGTGTGAGGGTGCGCGTGGTCTCCCCGGCTTTGAAGGGTGAGGCGTGAGTACAGTGGAAAGTGGCTTTTGATTTCCTTTTTGTTTTTAAAACTAATAGTTTTGGGAAACTCCTGAAGAAAGTATAGTAGTGTGTAAAATTTGATGATTTTTTTTTAAACAGCAGGGTTTTGCTTGTGGGTCAGGCCAGCCATAGAGCTGCCGGGGAGTCCCATCTCCCTGCAGGTGGGCAGAGAGGTGGGCTCAGAAGGAGATGACTCATTGTCCTCTGGTGACAAGATGTGTACGTGACAGTCACTGATGACTTGCCCCTTTCTCCGCCCCTGCAGCAAGCTGTCGTGCTGGTAGGGTGGACTAGTCCTGAAGGTGGACTAGGTGAGCTTTTATGCCTAGATGAGCAGAAGTCAAAGTAGCCAAACCAGGCGGAGGCTTCCAGAAGGAAGTGAGAAAGGAGCTGTTAGCGTGTACCTCCAGACACTGAACGCTCTAGCTGCAACTACTCTTTGGAAGTTGTTAACCATTTGTGCAGATTTTTCATGTGTGATGTTTAGCCACCATCACTCAGCCCCTGCTCTCTTTCCTTGGACAGCTTTCACCACGTGAACCTCTTTTACACGACAGTCCTTTGCTTGTCTGTCTTCGGTGGAGTGTGAGCTCTGTTTTAAGCTCGAAGGCTCGGTGCCCCGCCCCCAGCCCCACCACCTCATAGAAGACCCAGCCTGGAGGTAAAGATGCCGACAGTTGTTGTGTGTTCCGGTGTTCCGGAGATTGCTTCAAGTTGTGCCCATTAATTCAGTCTTCAGACAACCCTCGGAGGGAGGAACTCTTGTTCTTCCCAGTTTTAGATGCAGAAGCCAAGGTACGCAAGGCAGGTAACTTGGCTGGCGGCCACTCTGCGGCAGAGCCAGGGTTTGAAGCGGGGCGGGAGTGCATCAGGGACCCTTTGTGGCCAGGCTGAAGAAGCCCCACCATGGCACATGGCTGACCAGCCTTGGGCCTGCTCTGTCCTTGCAGAGCTCGGGAGAGGGCTCACCACCAGGAATTGTCGGACATTACCTCTGAAAGAAGTGAAACTGAGATGTCTTTAAAGGAAGTGCCCGTCAAAACCGTGTAAGACTAGTAACAAGGGAGGAGGGTGTAGCTCAGGGGTAGAGCATGTGCTTAGCAGGCATGAGGTCCTGGGTTCAATCCTCAGGACCCCCTCTAAAAATAAACAAGTAAATCTAATTACCTCCTCCAAAATTTTTTTTAATTAAAAAAATTTTTAAATTGGTAACAAGATTTAAGAATTGCCATTCTCAACATATCTGAAGAGTAGATGACACAGAAATGATAAGCACCTGGAACAGCCGCGTGCAGACAAGCGATGTCTGACTGGAAGAGGCTGCCCTCCTGCAGGGAGGCTTTGGGTCTGCTGCTGCTGTTCACTCGTTGCCTTTCCTGGTTTCCTGGAGTCACGATGGGGAGGGGCCGGCCGGAGAGGGGGGTTGTCGTGGACGGTTACCTGGTTTTGCATGCTCCTTTGTACGGGTTGATCAGAGCTGGTCCTTTTAGCTCAGGATATGTAGCTTCAAGTGTCTAGGCTTTTCCTTTGATGATTTTGTTTTCATCAGTTTTTTAGTCCAGGATCTAATCTTTTGCTTTGAATTAGACATTAATCTTTTTCTAACAAAAGAATGTTTAACAAAGCTAAAGGTTGATCTGCTTAACTCAAGCTTGAGTCTGGGGAATTGTATAAATAATGTGGTATCTGGGTAATGGTATGGCCAGCCTTTTTGAAAGAGTTTACGTAGATACCATGAAAGAACGAAACGTTTAAATCAGGTGAGGATAAGAGAAATTCAGAGCACTTGGGCACCAACAGCAGTCGTGTTTCATTGAATATGAGATACAAGTGATTTCAGAGCTGTTAAAATGAGGGAAATGTGCTCTTTGGAATCACTGAAATACCAGATTTGTGAATGCAAAGCTTTCCAGTGTAGTCATTATTTTTAGAGTGCTGTGATAGATTTTTCTGTGTGTAGAAAATGGGCACCCCGTGTTCATCACTGGCCTTTTCAGTGAGGGCGGTGGGGCTCTGTGTCGGGCGTTTGGATTTTGTCCGGTCGGATGCTTACCTGCTAGTGTAGCATTCCCGCTTACTTCCTGTTTATCCCTGTGCTGCCGGAGAGAGCCTTCAGGACGGCATCTTCTGGGGAGGGCCGTCAAACACGAAGAGGATCTGGAGACATCCTTGCAGTTTAATTAGAGGAGAGCTTCCTGGGGAGATTCTGCCTTGAGGAAATCAGGTGTGTGTGGCTTCCTGAAGATGAAAGTGTTGAGTGTGCCTGCTGAGCCCAGCTGCACTGTGGTGTCTCTGAAGTCACTGTCCATTGGGGAAGCGGGACTGCTGTGACTTTATACTCAGATGATTTTTCATTCCTTGATTTTAAAACATCTGTTGTTTCAGTGGGGAACTTGGGGTTCAGTTCGTGTCTGCTCTTTACCACCTGAAGGCCCTTTCTGAACCTCCGCTTGCTTATCTAGCAGTTACGTTACGAGATTTTCACTGAGATAAAGCAGGGTCGGGGCTTCTGCACCTGTAAGGTGGTGGTGAAGTGTCCGCGAATTCTCCTGTGTTTTACGGTGTTTGGGCTTGGTTGTAGCTGTATTTAAATATGAAAACAGCAGTTGCTTGTTTTTCCTGACCTCGCCCCAGTCTCTCTGCTCACCCCAGATCCCTTGCGTAGGGCCTGACCTGTTGGTTTTTCCATGCCTGTTCAGTGATCTTTCCCCTCCCCTGATCTTTGCTCACACGTCTTTCCCAGCTTAGAACGCAGGTTTCCCCTGCTGTCTGGAAGCAGAGCACTCCTACAGAACCTTCCTTTTGTGAGCTGAAATGGTGGAAAGGGAGGAAGCAGTTACCTTAGGACACGTCCTGCTGGCAGACGCTCAGCTGAGACGAAGCACAGGCGCTCACAGGCGCAGTTGAGCGCTCTGGTGGCTGGATGCTGAGACGGCTGCGCACTGCCTGTGCAACGGATTCCTGCAAAACACACTGAAGGCTTTTTTCGCATTTCGTTTGTTTGCTTGTTTTGGTTTTGGTTTTTGGTTTTTGGTTTTTGCAAAAGTGAAAATCTTTGGATTTCTTCCAGTTAGCAAAAACAGGTTACTGGTATAGGTCTTTTGTAAAAATGAAGTGGCATAAAGCAGACTTTCAACAAGTGGAGAATTCCTGTGTTTTCGCCTCCTGCCCACCTTCCACCCCTACTCATTGTCTGAATCTGTCTCAGATCCCAAATCCCACTGTCTTTCTGAGCCGCGGCTCAGCCGCTCAGCACCCAGCCCGCCTTAGGACTTGACCTTCCCTCCCGCCCAGCGCACCGTGGGGTCGGCAGTCGCCTGCGCCCAGCTTGCGCTCCAGGCTCAGCGAGCGGCTTAGGTTGTCCCTTCAACTTGCTGAAAATCAAGATACAGTAAGGTTTAGTACAGGTTCCATTTCAACCCTCTTACTAGCTGTGTGTTAACTTGGCAGGTTGCTTACCTTCTCTTCCTTGGCTGTAAAACAGGGTGCTGTTCCCTGTGACCATTACAGGGTTGTTAGGAAGATTCCAGATAACGCCAGGAGGCTTGGCCAGAGTGCTCACAGTAACTGAAAACTGTTAAAGTGCCGGTGTCTTTTTTTTTAATTAAAAAAATGTTTACATAATTTTTAAAGGTTGCTTTCCATTTCCAGTTACTACAAAATAGTGTCTGGGTTCTCTGTGTTGTACGTACATCCTTGAGCCTGTCTTACACCCAGGAGTTGTACCTCCCCATTCCTCCACCCCTGTGTTCCCCTCCCCCTGATGGTAACCACTAGTTTGTTCTCTGTATCTGTGAGTCTGCTTTTTTGTTATATTCACTAATTTGTTGTGTTCTTTAGATTCCACCTGTAAGTGATACCGTACAGTATTTGTCTTTCTAGGGCTTGCTTCATTTAGCATAATGCCCTTGAAGTCCACCCACGTTGCTGCAAATGGCAAACTTTTCATTCTTTTTTATGGCTGAGTAGTACTGTGTTGTGTATATACACCATGTCTTCTTTATCCGTTCATCTGTTCATAGACACTTAGGTTGTTTCCATGTCCTGTGTACTCACGTGGCTTCTACAGTCTCCATCCCACCCCGTCTTCCCCTAAATTCCTGCGTCCATTGCACAACTGTTAGTGATTTTTTCCTTTGATGGTACACAGTAAACGTGGGGGCATTTGAGAGGCTCGTGGAGTTGACTCCCTCTCGCTTTCTTGACTTTTTCCACAGAGTCTCGAGTAATTCATTCCGTCTCAGTGGGACTTCTGCCGGCCAGAACCCACGCATCACTCCAGGGAGCCAGCTAAGGAAAGGGAAGAGTGTCACAGGGGCTGGCTCTCAGCTTAGTTCCTCTGAGTGTGGACAACAGTGTCCTGAAGGGCTGCTGGCGCCGGATGTTGGAACAGAGAAACCCAGCACTGCCTCTCGAGACCCCCAGTTACACAGAGACTGGCAAGCATGTGGGCCATGGCAGCGGCTTGAGAGCGGCACACGTGGACATGGAGGAGCACCCAGGACGCGGACGGCGAGGGGAGAAGGGAAGGAAGTCGGGGCGGGGGGTAGTGTTCCAGATTGAGGGGCTTGGAGTGGAGATTGGAGAGAGCCCGGTGCATCCGGAAAACCAGTCCTGGTGTGCTGGTCTGGCAAAGAAGGGAGTGCCGTGGTGAGGGCAGACTGGCAGGCCAGAGGGAGGAACCAACGCCTTGAATTGTGGTTCGAAGTAAGTGCTCACACGTTTTAGGAGTCTAAGTAGAGGAGTGACGTCGGCGTCACAGTTTTTAGGAAGGTCCCTCTGGCCTTTGTGGGGGGGGGCTGGGGTGAGAGTGGGGGCAGAAGCGCCCGCTCCGAAGTCACTGCAGTGATAAAGGCTGGGGATGTGAGCTTGCGCCACATCAAATCTACTATGTGTTAACATAACGTTTTTAACGAAAAACACCTTTCCCCAACAAAAAGGCTAAGTGGCATTGTTTTGCACTTTGCAGACCTTCTCAGTGTAGGGCTTGAAGGAGACAGTTGGATTCTCACACCTGCTTCTGCCTTCAGTCTGTTACGACTGTTTTATCAAAATACACAAAGAAAATTTCGCCTCGTACTTACATGCAGTTAGAGAAGGGAGGGCCAGTGTAATAGCCTTTTCATGCAATTATGGATGTTCTTCCTACAGCAGAATTAGACACATGGTGGTTTCTTCAAGTTTTGTTGCACTTTGGAGTCTGAAACCATATTGCTGAATTTTCTACCCCTGTTGACATTAAAATCCGTAGTTCTGTCTTGCGCTTTGAGTGTGTCTCTTGCAAATGCAGGTGACTTGGCGGCATCACACTTGGGGCACTTGGACGTACGTGTTGGCACACAGAGTCACTCAGATCTTCTGAACGCCGATTCGTTTCTTCACACGAGGTCAGGAAAGACCAGTGCTGATCTCATCAGAGAAGCCCTGGTGGAAAACTGCCGGGGTAATAGCGGTAGGAAAGGCTCCCCCAGTCCTGTTCTCTCTTGAAAGCTTGAACTTCATCGTTGGCAGCAAATGCGCTCAGTCAACTGGTTTTCTGTGTAGTAAGGGCTCCATGTGTTCATTTTTAAGAAAATTTTTGCAAATGTCGACATCTAAACAGCTGTAATTGGTCAGTTGTTCTTTCAAATAAAAGTGGCATTCCGTGAGGGAGGGTGTGCTGGGCTGCAGCGCAGGTGGCTGCACGAGCCCGTCCTTGAGATGGCGGGGTCCCTGCGGGGGGCGGGGGGTGCGCTGCGCCAGCCTCGCCGCGAGCATGTCGGGGGCACATGGAAGGCTTGGGACTGGGTAACAGTAATTCGTGTGGCTGTTCGTTGAGGCTATTCCTAAGCAGAACTGGCGTTTTTCCGTCTTGTCTCCCTGCACACGCGTGGTATGAGCAGCGGGGCTGCGGGCGCGGTTTGAGCTGCGGGCTTTGTGCTGAGACACCAGCAGCTTCAGCCCCCGTTGCCTTTGCTCATCCACGCAGGTGGCAGCGCAGTGACATTGGCAGGTGAGGTATTGGCAGGTGAAGTAGCGTTAACCTCGTGGACCTCTGCGTGGTTCTTGAGAGTCCCCAGGGGTCTACAGACCACACTCAGAGAACTGCTTTAAGGCGCGCTGTTAGCAACAAGAATGCAGAGCAGGGCAGATCTCGGGATGAACTGTCCCCTCTCATCTTTACTGGATTTCATTGTTTTTGTCTCAAAAAGCAAAAGGAGAGCGTTTATTATTTAAGTCGAACGGTGAGACATGAAGAGAGTGGCAGTGGGAGCCCTCCTCAGGCAGCTGCTCCTAGCGGCTTGTGTGTGTTTTCTAGACCGTTTCCTATTCATTTATCTGTGTGTTTTTGCTTTAAAATTTAGCTTGTGTATAAGCAGCGGTTTCTGAGTTCCTTGCACAGCATGAGCACACTGAACACGCTTTGCAGCTCGCTCGCCCGCATCACCGTGCAGGATTGGAGGCGTGCGGTGGCCCGGCCTTCCGCTGAGCTGGGCGGCTGCTTGAGCCCAGCTGCCCCTCGCCTTGGGCCCTTGGGGTACAAGTGCCACGGTTACTTTTGTTTACAAAGGAGAGCTTGAGTCTCAGGGAGAGGGAGTCCCTTGTCCAAGCACGTGGAGCTGGTGGTGCTGCAGGCAGGTCTCCTGGCCGCGGGGCCGCTGGGCTCTGGTCTTGGGACTTCCCTCACCGTTGCCAGGATGTCAGATCCCCTGTCGTCTTTTCTCTTGGTTTGTTCTCATCTTGCCAAATTGTATCTTCCAGTTTCTTGCAAAAGGGTTTTTTGTGGTCATTCTTGCTCTTTGCATGTATGAAAACGTCTTTACTCTACCCTCAAGCTTGACTGAAAATTTGGCTGGCTATAGAATTTCAGGTTGAAAATTACTTTTCCTGCGTCTTACGTGATGCCGTCTAAGTCCTTCTGCATGTGTGTGACCTGTTTGTTCTTTCCCTTCTGCCCTCAGCCCCGTGGGTCAGAGCGCTGCTCTGGGGCGGGGCCTCTTCCTTAGGGGTGCTGGGCCCCTTGTGCCCAGACAGCCTCGGACGCGCTCGTGTCCATTCTGGGAGACGTGTCCTACCCTGTGATGGCTTTTCCCTTCCTTTCTTCTGTCATCTTGCTGGAACCTGTTACCGGGGGATGGGCGGCCTGGTCCTGCCCTCTGATGATTCTGGCCCTCCTGTTGCCCGCCTCTTTGTCATTTTCTTCTACCCTTTGGAAGAGGTCTTGAGGTTTTAAATTACCACTGTTACCCTTTGAATTTCGAAGAGCACTCCTTGTTTGTGCTTGCTCGCGCCCTGGTGCTGTCCCCTAAGGGTGTTGCTGGGCGCGATAGCTTCCTGCCCCCATGGCCAAGCTGAGTGTGTGCCGCGCCCAGCGCCCGCTCCGTGGGCTGCAGTGGGGCTCACTGGTCAACACCGCGGCGTGCTTGCTCAGGACAGCAGCTGGCAGGTGCGCAGGCCTCGGCCGACACTGGTGGCACCGTCACTCATTAGGGGTCAGCTCCCTGCAAACAGCAGGCGTCCTGTCTGTGACTTTGCTGGTGCGCTGCCCCCTTCCGTCCAGGTTCCTGCTCAGTGCTGGGTCTTCTGTCCTGGGCCTTTAGATCCTGAGCTGTTGGTTCTTGTTGAAGTTGGAGCCACGTTGGAGCAGAGAGGCAGTTCTGTGGGCAGGGGTTTTTCAGTGGAGGGCTTTCCTGTGGTGGGTCCTTTCCTTGGACCTCAAGTGTTTGACTCCTGAGGCCTTTTCTCCTGGCTCTGGGCATTTTGGAGAGGACCCCTTGTGGAAACATCCACTCCTAGCAGCCAGCGTTCAGGAAGCCATAGTGGAGGGGCAGCGTGTGCCCCGGCCTGACAGGACGGGGCCTGGCTTGGGGGACCAGCAGTTCTGGGAACAGACTTCCCGCCATCCCCAGGCCCCACAGCTGGCACGGAGCTCGCCCAAGGCCGTTGGTGCGTTGAGACGTTGGCCCCGTGCACACCCAGACTCTCCCCAGTCAGTCTCCACTGTCCAGCCCCTTGCCGTCATCCACAGCGTCCACTGAAGCCTGCTCACACTTGCTGCCTTGTGGACAGATGCCCTTTCAGTCTCCTGACCCCTTAGCGAGCAGGATGGGAAGGGAAGGAGTGGGCCCTGGGCGCCGTCCCACGCATGGCTGAGAGGCTGGGATGTTCCCGGGGGCTGCTAAGCATTCCTCACAGGCTTTCGAGGAGGATCTGAGTGGGCAGTGGTGGGCTCTGCATCAGCCAGGGACCAGCTTGCAGCAGAGTGCTTCATGGCGGGCGGTTCGCACCAGGAGAAGGCGTCTCACTCTGGTGACACGGGCACCCGGTGCCAGCAGCACGGCTGGAGGGGTGGTCTGTGCTGTGCGTAGGGCACCAGGCTCTTGGGCAGGACAGAGGGCAGAACTGGGTTACGCTCTGTCCTTGGTGCTTGTGAAACCCAGCTCAGTGTCCTCTGTCAGCACCACATTTATGCTCCGGCATCCACAGTACTGCCAGATGAAATTCATGCTGGTCGTTTTAATGCTCTTCATCTTGTAGTTTTGTTGGTATTTGGCTTGTATATTTTGATTTCAAAGCTCTTCTAAACTCTACAGAGGGCTTTCTAATTTTAGTTTCATACATACTTACGTAGCTAATGAAAAAAATTTCTCACCACTGGCACTCATAGAGTTTCTCTTTTAAAAGATTCACTCCATTTTAATTAAGTGTGAAAATCACTGACAGCTAGAGTTCCATTAATTATATAATATTGTGCACCCCTTGGGTATAAATGACACAGATTTTTAGTCCCTTTTAGTCCAATACAGAATAGTTTCATTTAAGCAAATAGGTTATTTCAGGTAATTTAATTTAAAAAGTGACACTTGTAGCAAGAAGCCTAATTGTTTTCCCAAGGCTAACAGAAGACTAAGAGAAAAAGAAATCCCAGGCTGTAGAATTCAACAGTGTTTTTAAATGTCAGTAAACAGTACCAGGGCAGTAAGAACTTCATTTGCAGGAGGGATATCATACATTAACCAATAAATGTTTGTGCAGACCTTTGCGAATGGCGTTATATTATGGCCGCTTTTCTGGGGAGTCCTTCAGGTGGTTACAACTTTTGGATCCATTTCTTATTAGTAGGTAAGTTGTTCATAGTAGCCATTTAGCAGTATTTGTCTTAACACTTCCGACCTCAGTGGCACTGTGGCCTGCGCACCACAGAGAGGTCACTCTCGTGTGCCAGTAGGACCCGCCCTTTGAGCCGGGGCCCAGTGACGATGGGTTTGTAATGATCCGTCCCTTCCTTGGAGCAGCCAGAGAGATTTTCTGCGGCAGCTGACTAAGGATGAGAGTCCAGTTGTGGTCAGAAAACCGGCTGCACCAGCCCTTTGGGAAACCAGACCCATGCCTTTGTTCCATCAGTGCTCAGCGAAGCTGAGCTATCGAGAAAGCAGGTTTCCTCTGAAGTCTGTCGCGGGGTACTTGTCTCTGTCGTAAATCCAGCTCCGGTTCCCCTAACTGAAGTGTTAGCCTTAGGACGACTGAGGACGTTTCCAGGCTTGGCTTTGTTCTTTGAGCCCTGTGGCCTCTGCCCCCAGCGAGCTGACGTCCGGATCTTTGTGCTGCTGGTGTCAGGGATCTCGAGTGTCTGACCGGCAGTGCCCCGCTAGGTAGCAGTGTCATTGTCAGTGACGGTGACGTTATCCAGACAGTGAGGTAGAACTTGTACTGTCTGTGATGTTATTTTGTACAGAAGCCAACCAGTTACCACACTGAATAAAACGTTTCTGCTGATATTATGTAAGAATCAGGTTTATTTTTAAAGGTCTATCAGGCATGCGTTATAAAATGAGGCAGCAGTCTTATTGAGCCAAGTTTTTTTGTTTTTTTTCCGAAGTTAATTTCTGAGTTTCAGCCCCGTTTCCTTGTCCCCGGACGCCCCAGTCTGGGTGACTCCGAGTGCCAGGGGCTGGGCTTTAGCTCAGTGACCCACGAACCCACGTGGGCTCTCGGCTCCAGAACCAGCAGGCGGCTGCTTCGTAATTACAGGTTTTCCGTGAAAATTTTGCTTCATCCAGGGAGAAAATTTTGTATGTGTTTATCTTTTTTTTGATCCTTTCTGTTGATTTTTTATGTTTGTTGTAAATCCTCTCAAAAATCATAACCTGGTAAGTTGCTTCTGTGTTTTGACAGCTGATACCATCTCAACCGTCGAGTTTAATGACCCTGGGGATCTTCTTGCGACAGGAGACAAGGGCAGCAGATTGTTATCTTCCACGGGAACCGGAGGTCAGTGATGTGCAGCCCACAGCCAGGCGGGGCCGTTCGGCTGGTCTGTCGCTTAGGAGGAAGGAGCCCAGGTCTCTCTCAGTCTGTGGTTCGGTTTGGAGTCTGTTACGTATGTTAACCACGTGGAACCTTCTGGGAGTTATCTCTGGTGAGCGGGAAGACCTGTGTTTCAGCTCACGGACATCCCAGCAG